ACGGGAAAAAACGCGAAAAACACCCCATCTCGCAGTAAAATCCATAAAGGTTCTTCTTCATGCCACTGCCAGCTGTCCACCCACATTTCACTCTATGGAGTCACCTCACTCGCGGGATCCGTCTTACTACTGGCACTTCCACGTTGGGGCCTCGTGGGATGATCATCATGATCATCATCCCGTCAACAGCCATATGTAGCAACCAGCCTTGTGGACCCCTCTGTGAGGGATTGTGGGCGAGAGCTGAGCGAGGTTCGAGCCGGGGACCTCTCGATGTACGGCCGAACAGGCTAACCAGTTCGACTATACATGCTAAGATTTCACGGAGTACCAGTCCACTCCGACTTCATCAGGTCTTCACCGTATACGGGCTCGGATAGCTCAGTAAGACCAGGGCTTGGACTCCAAGCCTTGGAGATCTTAAAAGAGTAAATCATACCCTGTGGCGGTTCATTCATACGTTGCGGAATACAGATGATTCGAGACACGCTGCCGCAGGCAGCTCGGGTCCCAATGGTGGCAGGGGTGGAAAGTTTTGAATAATGACATCCATAGGATTCGAACCCGCACCTCCCCAGGAAGGACTTGATCGGTCAATGGTATGACAGTGATGGCCGACAGGGACTGTGCCACTGCGTGGCGGAGCTCACTCCACAGTGGCCACTTCTTCCACAGCGCGCCATCGTTATCTTCCCAATCGGACTTAACGTTCATGGAGAGTCTCGCTAGAGGCTGGGGTCAACTCCAGCAGAATTGATCCGAATGGGCGAGCGAGCTTGGTCGCTCGTAGGTGTTTCAAGAGTCCAAGCATTCTGAGAGAAAGTCTTCGATAACTAACAGATTTTTTCCAGTGGACCGCCCCAGTCCGACTGGGTGCTCACGACCCGTGTGAGATGGAGTCGCTGGTACGGCACCAGTTAATCGGGCACCTGTCTTGTGACCGAGACTTCGGGGGGGCCCCGCAAGTCTTCGGTCCACACCACCTAGTCAACTAGCTTTGAATAATTTCATGGATATGTATAGATATTCAGTTGGACTGGAGGATCACTGAAGCCAGAGTTGACCAGCGAGCAAGGAGAGTGGCGTTCTAGAAATTTGCATGCATATCGCGCAAAACGCGTAAAACGCGTAAAACGCGAAATGATTTCGCGTTTTGCATATCACATGAAAAACACCTCACATGTTTTACGCGAAATTCACTGCTCACATGCGTTTTTCGCGAAGTGAAATGTGAAATGTGTTTTTCACTAGTGTTTTTCACATCACCGGTGAAACTCCATTGTATTGTATATACGGCAACTTCCCCTTTTTTATCCACACAGTGCGTCGCGAATTGCAAATTGCAATTACCACGAATACGAGGTTGTTGCTCCAATAGCGACATTACATAGTTATGAATCATAATTTTAATTTTTTTTCATCGTAATTTATGATAATCGGTCGTAATAGTGGAGTTTCACCCGTTTTACGCGAGATGAAAAACGCGATGATATTCGCGGTGATATGCAGTAGTCGTGAAATATATATTTTTTCCACTAGTGTTATTCAAACTCCAATGTTCAATTCATACCACATTTTACTGTATTTATGAAAATCGATCAGAATTCTTCTTCCGGGGCGAGCGAGATTGTCATAAGCCTTTTGGATCCCCTTCAGGTCCCTCCTTGATTTTACTCGTAGTGAGCTGACATCACCAGAAGAGATACAGCTACTGCCGAGTCGCCTCTATAGGCTGACGTTTATACGGCAGGCGGTGGGAAGGGTAGTTGAGGCGTATTGTCAGGACACGAGGATCCCCTTGACGTGTGAGTTGGGGGGTAATTTCGTGGCGCGTGACGTTAAAGTGAGTGTAGGGATAGTAACCTTCTAATAATGGAACTCAATACACGACAAGTGAGCAGAAATAGCCTTGTACGAGAGCGGACGTACAATAGAGTAGAACGTATCAGAATACGTTACAACTTATAACTATGATTACGAACTACGTATGAACTACTACTAGCTCTAGCTTTGCAGCACCTTAGCACGCAGGGACAATTGTGTTCGGACCGAATATTGGGGTACAAGGAAACAATGTAGCACAATGGTCGAGCCACTGGCACAACATGAGGTGGGGGTAATTTCGTGGCGCGTGACGTTTTTTTCGGGGTTTCAGCGGTGGTGCCGCCTCCTTCAGCCATGGTACATGATTCAAGGAGAGGAGTGAGCGGCACGACGGTAGGAGTTGGGCGAATGATGGTATGGAAAATTGGATTCTCAGTCGTCCGCATATGAGGGGCCTTGGAGGACAGATGCCCTCTGTGAAGCTTGCTTGATGTGGGATAAACGGTGAGCGATAGTGGTGGGAGAAATATTCCGTTTCCGGACCTTTTTACCCAGCGTTTTGGAGGACTTCGACTGCGATTGCAATGAAATCAGAAGAGAAAAAAGTAGAGCCAAAACTTTGGAAGTAAAACTTAATCACTTTTACACAAATTAATATTGTGTTAAAATTTTAGTAATAAAAATGTTCATTTTCAGATCAGGAAAAAATTCCGCCGAAAATATTTTACCACTGACTTTTACACAAATTTTCTTAAATTTTATGCCATTTTTTGCTCAAAAAGCGCTCGAGGAAGTGCTGGGATGAAAATTGAATAATTTCATTGAATCAAAAAAGTCATTCAATTTTTATTTTTTTCCGTGAAAAATATTCACGGAAATTTTTTTTTCTGTAGAAAAATTCGGAAATTTTTGGTTCTCCCTCAGACAGGTGGAATTTGGAGTTTTAGCAAATTGTGATTTTCACGCCAACGCGCGTCGTTCCTTGCCGACATGGATGGTCCGAGCGCTGGAGGGACGATTAGCGGAAGGCGTTGAGGAAATGCAAGATAGCAAGATTGTTCAAGATTCGTTGCGGTAGGAAGGCCTTGGGAGTTGCGAAGATGACTTTGATCAGGTGTAACGCCCTGGAGGAGGTGGTGGCGAAGCATGAGGAGGAGTGGGGGAAATTTGGTGAGATTTTTGGATTTACGGAATTCGTTTTTTGGCAGCAACAAAGGGGTGTTTTTGTTTTGAAATTTGAAATGAAATTATTTTGAAGTAAAGTTTTCGAGAAATTGCACTCCGAATTTAAGGTGGTTGGAATTGGGTTGGAACTCTGACAACGACCTCGCTGATTCGCGGTTTATACAGAGGCTGCTGAGGAGTGTCAACGAAGCAGCCTGAAGGCTGACTCGAAATCGGTATCTTAGGTTCAAGCTAGCATGATACGGATTAGGTCCGATGGTAGTTCGTGTCGGATAGTCGATTTAGTAGTGATAATGTGATTACAGGGGTCAGAGTATTCACATATAGTTAGTGTAGTGGTGAGGACTCAACAGACAGATATACTTTAAGTATAACGCGTATTACTACGCTAACTGAAAACGCCTTAGCGTGAATTGTGTACAGAGGGATAACTTGCACATTATCGCCAACGTTAGTATTGAAGTTTTACGAGCCATTTAACGTGAAGCGGGA